CCATCTTAACGAGTTCAACTATGGAAGCAAAACTCACATCATTAGACACGGCCACTGTTGAACAATAATTCTAAACGCACGGACATTTACAGGGGTTTTACGGAGTTTTCTTCACAACTAATTACTGCCCCCGTTGATTTTCAAGCGGGGTGGGGCCCTCCACTTTATTTGATCCAATCAAAAGATCCCAGCTAGGCCTCTTCGTTGATCCCGTACTAACCCTGCCCGTGTCTGTAGCAAAGCCGACTGTTGAAGCAGAGTGGCTTTGTCGGCTCTTGATGGACTTACATGTGGTTGAAAAACCAACCTACTATCCCGATGAACTATGATAATCAAACTATAATCATCAAGATAACCAGTTCTAAGGATAATATGAAGTCCTCAAAGCATGTGAAGTGGAGATTGAAATCTATCAGAAAATTAAAGAACTTCTGAGTTATTACATTGGATTATATCCAAATGTCTAAAAACCTGGCAGATCCCTTCACAAAGGGTTTATCATGTAATGTGATAGATAATGCATCAACGGAGATGGGTTTGAGACACACCGTATAAGTTGTCAACAGTGGTAACTCACTTTATGTGATCGGAGATCCCGTGAAGTAGAAGTAGGAGACAAGTTGTTGGTCAGCTGGGAGGAGCGTATCCCTATATTAATTATCCCACTCCGTGAAGATGTAGTACTCTAATCTATATGAATTTGATTGTTAAATGTCATAGTTTGTGAGAATTGAGTGTTCTCTAATGAATTCATGAAAGGCCCTGGAGTATGGCGTGTACGCTCCACCTGTGGGGAAGCCTTGCGGCAACCCAATATCAGTCAAGAATTTGTGTGAAACTAGTCCGCGGAAAACTTGTAGTTCGAGCCATAGTCCACTATTCAAGTTGTGATAGTGTAGCATAAAATTTTAAGTGGAAGTTCAACTTAACAATCTCCACTAAGCAATGTTTTGGAACTAAATGATAAGATATGCCAATGAGACTTTGTGGGGGGTTGTCGGATTTTTGCTAGTAGGCTTTTGGCCCAAAGCCCAACTAAAATCTGAAATTCTCATGGCCCATTCTTGCAGGGCAGTGTGTGCGGTGTGAATGGGACTAATATTTAGTCCCATACTGCTAGGTGAGTGGGAGTTGCACTACTTTATAAGGTGAACTCTTCTAGCACTTGTATGAGAATGAGAAGATGAGACCTACACACGCGCTCCTCCACCTCGCTCGCCTCGCCATGACGCGCCACGTCGGGTTTCGGAAATGAGCCGAGCCGAGGAAAAAGCTATGCATGTTGTCTATATTTTTGCTACTCGGGAGAATTAATGAGTCATTAGTTAATAGTTAACGGATGCGTTAATTACTCAGTTGTGAGGTTGTTACCGACTTGGACGTGGGGTTTACTCCCGCGACCTACCTGGCCTGCCACTGTATAGACAGGAAGACGTCTACCCTAGCAGCCATCACAACATATGATTTTGCGCCGTTCGAAAACATTGCGCCGCCACGCAGGTCTTCTCCATCCCTCTTTCCAACGTGCACCGCGAGAAGGGACAACAGGCCTACGGAACCCCGCCTCTCATAATCCAGTACGGGAGAGGGCGGTCATGTTTTTGGGAGCGCACTCGCGCGACTGCTGGCAGCGACGATTTTCTCAACAACGACTTTTTCCCCGACCTCGGCAACCTCTTCATCAATGACATGGGCGACAACATCAACGCCAACGGTTCTGCTCCCGATGCACCGTATGTGATTCTGTCCTCCTTGTTTGAGATCGTGCTAGAATTTCTATTTCTAGTATGTACCCTTGATTCGATCTGTTCATCCATTAGCTATTCCGCATGATTAGTTTAATCTCTGTTATTGCCCTCATGATTTATTTACTGTTTATTCAGATTAAATCTCGTAGTAATTTGCTCATATATTCAACAGGACACAAACCCTACCAAAACTCAAAGTAACATCTAAAAACAAAGCCCTCCCATCGACAAGGCTCGGGATCCACCGCGCTTTCATGGCCCTACTAAGGCCACCGGAGACGAGGCGACCGGTGGCGGCGCCGACGCCGGCAGGAGGAGGAGAAAACCTAAACTTGGGAGAGGAAGCAGTGGCTGTCCACGTCACTATCTTCCCTATATGTCCATCTCTTTCATGATCCGAATTCACATGGGTAGTACTAAGGACCTGCTATCAACCAAGGTCTGATAATAGTGCTAACGGGCGTTATGATGTCAGGCTCATCCTCTTTGTGACCCAGTACCACTACTAAGAACTACTAGTTTTTTCTTAATAAGAAGAAAAGGGGCCGACGGCCAAGGAGAAAGATTGTCACAGAACTACTCCTTTCGTTCCTAAATATTTGTCTTTATAGAGATTTCAATAAGTGACTACATACGGAGCAAAATGAGTGAATCTACACTCTAAGATATGTCTATATACATCCGTATGTGGTAATCCGTTTAAAATCTCTAAAAAGACAAATATTTAAAAACGGAGGGAGTAGTATAGTACTTCCTCCGTCCCAAAATTCTTATCTTAGATTTGTCTAAATACGGATGTATCTAATTACGTTTTAGTGTTAGATACATCTGTATCTAGACAAATCTAAGACAAGAATTTTGGGACGGAGTGAGTAAAGTTCAACAATTTGTGTTCTGCTGCAAACATGGTCCATGAAAAACGGAAGACAAGTTTAAGTTAATTAATAAGAAGACGACGCAAGGGTTTGCTGTGGCTCCGATGGATGCAATGCACCGTGTTATGCATGATCGAAGGGAACGGGACCAAATGGCAGATGATGCAACTAGAATAGCAAACTGTACGTAGTATTTCTTGTAGTACTTTGCTATTAAGCCAGCGCTAATTAATATGAATTGGAGGGAGTAGTATATGTGTCTGTGTTGGTTGGGTTGCTCGTAGGCTACTGTCACTTGTTTGTGTCGTCTCCCCATCATGCCAATCAATTGAATCGAATCGAATTAAATTGATGCCAAGCATTAGGCGTACCTGCCATGCTATGCT